GCCAGAACAAGGAGTGGGGCCGCGCGGCGCAGGACTGCATACACGTTCAAAATCTGAGCCGATGTGAAGAGTTAGCGCTCACATGCTGGTAGGGTGAGTTCGATGATATCAAGGCCAATTGGAACATGAGATGACAAAAGCAATGTATCTGTGTTCTTGTCGCTTTCTTGTTGCGATTGTTCCTGTTTAGCCTCTTTACTGTAGCTTCCTTTTGTCTTCTTGCCGCCCTTTTAATTTCTTCTTGGTAGATTGTGTCCCAAGATTCCAGGATTGGTGTGCTGCAGCCGAACATTGACAATTCATTTAGCACAATTCATCAAGACAAGGCAAGGGTTGCACAGCGGAGTCTTGAAGGAAACTCGCTCAGCTTATTAATCAAGTTCATTCAATCTTACTTGGGGAGAAGTCAGACATCTGTCACATCCGCATCAATGTTGGATGTTTTGCCGCTTGCTGCCTGTAAGTGCACGGTGCTGCTTAGAAGCAGCCTTACACATTGCAGCAAGCAAGCCAGGACTACGAGGCTGCGTCCCAGATCCTGACGGAGTGGACTGGGCTGCATTGGTTCTCCGATCAGTAATAAAAAATCTGAGTGGCGGCATGCTTCAGCTAAATTAGTGCCGCTTCGAATGTACGCTTGGCAACATATACCTCCCAAACCGACAGTTACGAGAAGGGTGAGCTCATTTCCAGCCTGATCATTATAGTAGGATCCAGGCAGTGCATGTCACCTCGATCAACAGCAGCAACTCAAAGATGTCACTGTGAGGTGGAAGGGTTTGACCAAGCTCTGAGCAGCGCAAGCCGAACCTGACTTGCGCTGGCAGGTTTTTAAGGCCTGACAGCACGTGTTTGGCGTGCTGCGTGTAAAAAATCTTCAAGATTGAGTGCCATCGGATGTTGCCTTGGCACGAAGCAATCCCAAAGAAAGTCCTGAGAGATGAGCAGCCATGGGCAACGTCACATGGGAATTGTGCCTTTTGCCGCGGCGCTTTGATCGTGCTCCATTCCGATGCGATGTGAAGGAAACAAGACTGTGAATAAAGGTCATGTAGTCCTCCGTGTAGCAGAGTAAGAGTAGGACGTTCTTGAACCGTTGCATCCCAGCACAACGCTATGGAACTCAAGGATGCAGACCACAATGCAGGCAGATTCTTGTCTGCGTTGAAAACGTAATGTCCTCTGTGCTGGCCCCAACTGCACATGGCTGCTGCTTCGACTTACGCGGCTGCCCATCACCATGCCCTGCGAAAGGCAAAGTTCCTGTCGTGGCTTGGCGCAAAATGCTGTTTGACCACTTGTGATGCACCCATTGCACGCCTTGTGTGGGAAGTTGCGGCGCCAGGCCTGCAAGCAATACCGCGTTCCTGAATACCGAGGCGTCACGTGCTGCAAGGCATCAATGATGCCGAGAAGGCCATTGTGGCCGACGCTGAAAAAGGCCGAGCGGCCGAGGCGTCGGAGCGCGAGGCGGGATACGAGGTGAAGGTTTCAAGCGGCTTCTAACTTCGAGTGTCAACCTTCATTGCTAAAGGAAGGTAGCGAGCCTCAAGGCTTTGCAGAGATGCCAGGTCTAGATGGCCAGCTAGGCATATAGAAGGCCTTTCTGACCTGAACTGCCTTCTCTAATATGATAAGCCCTTGTTTGCTTGTGGGAAAATGCTTTGGGAGGTGCAGGCAGCCGCCCTGAAAGTGAGGGCTGACACGTGTGCCTTGCCTCAAGACGGGGTAGATAGGCACGTATCTCGGTGGGTGCTAATACATCTTGAGGCTGATTCGCTCCTGCTTGGTTGCAAGCAGGTCCTGCAGTGCGAGCAGCCCCACTCCCACGTGACATAAACAACTCAAGCAATCATGTCATGGCAAGCATGGCAAATGATGTTGCATATGTCTTGGGAGCTTTAGCAAGCCGAGGTATGGAAGTGGTTAAGATGTGCGAAAAGTGCAACGTGCAAGTTGACGATATGATCCGGCAGATTGGTCAGTGCCTGCGACGATTGCAGCATGCTAGAGTCTTGGACGAAATTGGCCGCAGCGAAACCGTTGAGTCTTTTTCGCAGTCAGTGAGTGCTAGAGATGTGACGTGCTCGTTGCATCAGGATATGCTCAGTTTGCAGACCTCAAGGCTGGCTTTTGCATTTCAAGGAGTGGTTTGGCATTCAATGGTGTTTGCAGTGTAGGTGTGCCAGCAGCGTCTCTACTTGCGGTCGGATGCTCCCGCTCAGGACCGCTGTCTGGCAAGCCTTGCAGTCTGTCTTGGTTGTTGAAGCTCACGATACTTCCAGCTTCATTAGGAGATGGCCGGCGACGCTGCGCAGAATGCCCTGGAAGAGCAGCGGGCATCCATCAGCACCTTGGCTCCAAGAAAATGTAAACTACTAGAACCCATTAAAGTCGTTTACATGTTCTTCGCCATTATTCCGACATAACCCCAATATAACCCTAACATTACCCCAATGGGTTTGACATGCTTTTTTCAGGTGTTTGTAGTTCAGGCGAGGCCCGAAACGAGCTCCTGAGCCTGGAGGGCGAATGCAGGCGAGCCTTGGAGATGATTGGACAGCTGGGAGCTGAGAAAAAGACATGACATCATCATTATTATTCTTTATACAACTATTCATTCTATCACTATTAGTATTATTGTTACTAATATCATTATTATTATTGCTATTCTTATTATTGATGCTACATTTTTTTGCTCCCGTTTGCTGTGCTCGCCGTTTGAGCTCTCAGGCTGAGGCAGGAGCTCTCGAAGGCTGGCACAGAGAACCAGCATGCACCAGTGACCAGTGTGAAGCAGAACGGGTTCGTAGTTCGTAGTTCGTAGTCCTGTACGTTCAGAGGCTTCAGAATTCAAAGGCCAGAATGAAATTTAGAACGGCTCTATGACCACAATTTGGTAGTATTTTTTTGGGGGATTCTATGGTACCCAATCTAGAGTAAGATTATATCCTCCTTTTGGGGTATAGTATTTTATGTAAGGAATATAATCTTACTGAGTGCAACCACCAAAAAGTATAATCTTACTGAGTGCAACCACCAAAAACGCTACTCAATTGTTGTGTTATCCAAGATCCCCCTAAGGCAGGCCAACTAAGTAAGAAGCACAAACACATGCATGTGCTTTGCAACCTGCAGGAGGGTGCCTCGCAGCGCCATGCTTCCGAGCACTGCCGCGCTGCAGTGGCCATTCTCCTGTCAGTCTCAGCGGACCCTTGTGAGGGCCCCCCAGACCTGTTGGCTTACAGAAGGTTTGAGGGCAGGGTCTTGAAGTCTCGGGCTTCCTCCGACCCGAGGGATATTAATTTGTGCTACGCTCGCCCACTGATCCACGCCGGCCATTCTCGTGTTGAGATTGTAGTGTGAAGTTGCAGCATGTGCCAGATGTGGATGTCCCAGAGCCGCGGAATGCAGAGCTCGGGCGGCGTGCAGAGCTACTGCTAGCTGCGGCCGCTGAGCTTGCGACACGCTGCACGGAACTTAGAGCCCTTTGACGGCCTCGTGGTTTTCTCCAAGGTTCATGCTTCACCCGTCGCGAGGTGGCATCGCAGTGCAGAATACGGACGAGAAGTGTCGGCGAGCCAGACAGCGGTCAGAGCTACTTCTCGAGCGCAGGTGGAGCATGTGACAACGTGGATCCCTAAGAAGATACCTGAGTGAGCGGCTTCGAGTCCTGGAGGCTCATGGACACTGAGAAGGCAGCGAAGCTGCTGCGAGTGCAGGCTTCAGAGGTGGGACGCTGCCCAGCCTTGAGACGTTGTTCACATTCGTGAGGGTTGCAATTGCAGGTGGACTTCACAATAGCGGTGGCGGAAAGATCCTTAGCTCGCAGCGCGAAACGCTGCGTCGGCAAGGAGAACCTCAAAAAGGCCAGTCATCGCCCGGAAGCAAGCTCCGCAGTCTGCTGCACTTGCCTTTTGCAGAGTCCCTTTTCAGGTGGCAAAAATTGATGCCACAAGGACTCTACGTACCTAGTTTGTGCCTTCAACGTGCCACATGATTACCAAGAAGATGCAGGACAGCGTTGGACAACCTTCGCCAGACACGGGAGGCACAGACAGCAGTGGAATTGCCGACTTGAGGGCTTAGTTCAGCATCACAGTTTCGTCTACGTTTGCAGCGCGCGCTGCCAGCTGAAGTTGGCTCAGCAAGTGTCCTGGACAGGCGCTCAAGTTACACATCCAGAACAAGTTCAAGATGCAGAACATTGACGCGTTCGATCCTTGATCCCATCCACTATGGCCGAGCGCTTTCCTGCATGTAGCGGCAAGTAGATCGTAAGGTCTTGCCGGAAAGCCGTGACCTGAGCCTGATGAACTGCAGAGCTGCCTAACAATAATGGTTGTGGATCACAACACAATAGATGCGATATCACATGGACATGCTACAAATAGCAGCTTTGAAATTGCGTAGCGTCGGCGTCAGTGCACCTCACAGGAACCAAAGAATCACAACCAGTTCCAGCGCTGACACAAATCGGTCTGCAAACGACTCCGGCAAGACTGGCGGCGTCTTGAACCGCCTTCTCCAGATTCCCATTTTATCCCAATATCAGGCTTTTACAAGAGACTAGCTCATCACTGCCATTTTCACCGGTTCTGCCGTTGTTGTTTTGACTATGATGCTTATCTTTGCTTGGTAGTGCCATGTGACACGCCGTACTATTGATACCAGCTAAGACTCTGAAAGGACGGACATTTGTAGGACATGGGGTCTTGGGGTGGAGCAAGATTTCTTCCATTGACTATGACTAGGATCCACGTGAGAAGGTCACATCCCAGTCGGCCAGCTCGGTGGAGACCCGGCCATCCACTGCGAACCAGCGCTCCATGTCGGCAGGGGCAGGCCAGGAATCTCAGGGGTTTCCGGGGCAGGGGTTACCTGTCAACAAGGCAGGTGGTCGTGTTGAGGTATGATGCTAGTGTATGTAAAGTCATAATGGTAGTGTGGCTAGCTGCAATTCTTGCAAAACGGAATGTGACAATGATGATGAAGGATGCGCAGGGGATCCGTAGATGAATGAGATCGGCTCTAACATGTGGATTGTCACGGCCTTGCTTGCTGCCAAAAATTGTGTGAGGAGTATAAAGCTTCTGAGAGCCGGTGTGAAGCCGGCACCATGACACAGCGACGAAGGTCCCCGAAGACCGGGTGCCGAGGATGGCTTCGAGAGGGGCAGGCAAAGACGTCTGCACCCAAAGCCGTCAAATCCTGGCTTTTTCCTCGCTCGTTTGCAGGGCCCTGCCTCGGCTGACGTCTACCGACTCGACTGGCAGCCTTGTCGTGCCAGAAGGTGACGCTGCTCCGGCTGCCGCGAGGCAGGAAGGAAGTGCAGTGACTTCAGGTTTGCTCGAGGTATGCGTCAGGTTTGTTTGCCTTAGGAGATCTTAATGGCACGCCTGGGCCAATGCCTACAGGCAGGACATTCCCAAATATTCCAACGCTTAAAACTAGGCAAAGACTGGCCTGCCCAACACCGATGCCAATGTGCTACATGAGGTTCCTCCCTGTCAACACCTGGCTAATTTGGGAGTGGGGACCCTCGTTCATATGTTGGCAACCATGGCGTTGGAATGAATGGGCCAGGGAGACAGCTGCTTTACTGAACGACCCCACGTACCTAACTTCACAGACACAACTGCCTTCTTCGGGCACCAGCATTTCAAAGCGTAAGATGGGCTCGCAAGCATGTGCACGGCGGTGCCTGGCAAAAGCACAGGCCCAGCCGCCCAAAGTCCGCTGCGACCTACAAGGTGAGAGCAGACCGCCCGTGATGTTTTCAAGACAATGCTGCATACTTCGATGCATACTTCGCAACACGAAGCTGCTGAACGGCATAACAATCAAGTTTGTGCGGCCTAAGTCTTTGACTGCAGACATCTGCAGCTGTATCTTTTCTTCTGTCAGATTCCTCGTGCTCAATCAGAGCCGTGAAATACTGGTGCTACTCTGTCTTCTGGTTCGCAGGCAACTGGTACAACATTTGCAAGATTTCCGTTCTGAGGGCAGACATTCTCATAAATGGAATGTAGTTGCCTGCTAGCAGGAGATGCAGTTTGGGTGGCATTGCGTCTCACTCGCCAAGGCACCTTTACCCCTCTGGAAGCCTCAAGAGAGATATTGTCCGCCTCACACTGTAACTTACAACCGCCACATGGATGTGGGCCCAAGCTTCCGTAATCAAGCGTTTTGCTTTGTTGGGCGCCCAGCCACTTGTTTAACCTTCTCTTGTAATTGATTTGGACTACGACCTCGGGAGCGCGAGCGTTTGTTGTAGGAAGCGGCTTCAGGATTGCTTTAGCTAAATCGTTGCTTTAGTCAACTAGTGCTACTAACGTTTGCAGAAGAAAAATGCCTCTAGCGGTGTTGGCAGCAAGGCTTATCTGGACCTCATGTTAATGTACCCCGCGCAACCGCAGAATCCAATCTGCCAGAACGCAAACATTATCAAGCACCGTCTACTGGTAAGTACTACTACCGGAAAGTGCTGGAGCTCCAGCTGATAGACCAGGATGCTTTTCCCATCCCAAAGCCATCCCAACTCCAGGAGTTCTACACCATTTCGTGCTGTCACACCGACGGAGGGTCCGTAGTCAAGGCAGAGAGACCCTTCTCTAGGCTCTAGGGATCCATGGCCGCCCAAGATGCGCTCAATGGGTTTGGTGATTGTGCTTGAGTCTACGGGTTTGAGAGGTTTCCAGGAGCGGGCAAAAATGCCTTGCTGCCAAGGGGCTGGTGAAATCACCCCCGGCAGCGCGTCCGAAGGACGTCAAAGAGAAAGGGCACTCCACTGATTCAAGGATACCCCTTTAACATGCCGAAGTTCTGGAGCTTGGCTTCTGTTGAATGCAAGAAAGGCTCGAGTTGCCTCACAGCTGCCATGCGCTCTGAGCTCTGCAGCCAACCCGCAGTCACCGCAAGGTTTACATGGAGCGACAGAGAGGAAACGTGCTGAAGCCTTCCATGGTGCGTGACGGATAGAACAAGATCACCTGTCGGGGCTTTCCTGCTTGTACCGCCAGGTGAAGCATGTGGGTGGTGGAATGCAGAACTCCCATCACGTTGGCCCGCGCCGGTCAATCAGAGATCGCAGGCCTAATCACGCAAGCCGTAGGTGGCAAGGTGCGCTGGGATCGCTGGCTTTGCTTCGCTGCAATGACATACTAGAAAAGCACCACGAGTTGAAACGGTTCAGTGCTTGCGTGGCTTCCTGCAGCAATGCAGCGGCGTGGCCTCGAGCAACAACATTGATTCGCCAGATGATGGTGGAGCGCATTCAGTTGGACACGGTTGCCTGGAGCTCAGTCATTTGTGCCTGGAGAGCAGCGGGCTGGAGCCAGGCGTTACAGAGCTTGAGGCGGGGTGACGATTCTGGAGTGCAGGCCGACATTGTGGCGTACAACTCAGCTATGGGTGGAGCGTGGCCGCTGTCAATGTCACTATTCATGAATTTGGATTCCCGTGGCCTTCGGCGTGATGTTTATTCTCTCAGCGGGACAATCAAGCCTTCGCATATTGCATGGGAATTCGCTTGTGACATTCTGTTTCAGCATGCTGGTGCCGCTGGATTGGCATCCAACGCTGTTTGCGTGAACTCTTTCCTTGACATTCTCGCGACATCATCGCATTGGGAGTTTTGCTTGCACCTGCTTCATGACGCTGTTCGAGTGAGTGAGGGTGACGTAATAACGCTGACATCAGCCATCCAAGCTAGTAGTAATGCTGCACACTGGCCGCAAGCTGGAAATCTTCTGCAGTTTTCGTTGACGTTGCGCTTGACAGATGTTATCATGTACAACTCGGTTAGCGGTGCGTTTAGTACAGCTGGACGCTGGAAACTGGCCCACCGTCTGCTTGTTGATGACATGGTAAGGCCCAACATACAACCCGACGCTGTCACGCGGACATCATCGATAAGGTCTTGCAAGCAAGCAGCCGTTTGGGAACAAGCATTTGCTATTCATGCAGAACTCGCGTCAGCGCGTGTTTTAAATCCCCAGCTGTGTTCGACGGTCCTAGCAGTTTGCGAGCAAGCAGCGCAATGGCAACAGTCAGTGGCATTCCTTTGTGAAATTGCCGGCCTCAGTTCTCAAGCTATAGATGCCTTATGTCTCAACCTGGCACTCAGTGCTTGTGACAAGGCTTCGATTTCCCGTTCAGCGTGGGGATTGCTGGACGCTTGCAGTGACTTGCAGGTGAAGCCAGATGTTGTTAGCCATAATACAGCACTTTCTTCATTGCAGCAGGCTTCTGACTGGCAGCTCGTGGTCCAAAAATTGAGCAAGATGGTTGATGGCCAGCTGCTGCCGGATGCTGTGACTTGTGCCTCCTTCATAGGTGCATGTGATCCAGCTCATTGGCAGAATGGTCTGTCGGCGCTGCAGCAGATTGAACGCTGGCACGTGCAAGCTGACGTCGTGCTTGTCAACTCGGCAATAAGCGCTGTGGAAAAGATTTTGCTCTGGCAGCAGGCCTTGGCACTTGGGGAGGAAATGGACAGACTGGGTATTCGACGTGACGAGTTTTCAGTCTGTGCCATGGCCAGCGCGTGTGCTACGGCAACTTGGAAACATTCACTGAGAGTGCTAGATCAAATGGAGGCTTTGACCGTGCGAGATGATAGGATGGCAGGCAGGGTCTTTGCCTGTAATGCGGCGATGAGTTCCCTGGAGCGAGCGACGCTGTGGCGACACAGCACGAGCCTTCTGAAGAGCGCTTTGGAATGCGGCCTTGCAGCCGATTCCATCACCTACAACACAGTTGTGAGATCCTATCGATGGGCAAGGGCATGGCAAAGAGCCTGTGACCTATTGATGGATTCCACTTACAGTCGAGTCCCGCCTAGTGCTGTGATGTGTAGTGATGCAGTTGCAGCATGCGAGGAAGTTCGCAGGTGGGATGCAGTTGGTCAGGTTCTAGCACGGATTGAGAAGCGCAGTGCGGAGCTGTGTTTATTGTTGAGGCAAAAAAAGCGTTCAAATTCAGAGGCCTGCCATCTATACCTAGAAGCGTGTACGTAGAAGACTCGCTTTTGTCACCGCTGCGGATTTGGAGAGAGTCCGCACTTGCATGTGCCTGCGTCATCTTGCATGGTTGCCTTTGAGCGACTTGTCATTTAGCAGCTGTCAAGTTCACAGGAAGTGCAGTTCAAACTCACCACGCAAGCCTCACCCCGAACTTGTTCAGCTCAGAACTGTGATGATTAGCAGAGACCCTTCCACAGCCATGCAGCCTCGGTGGCGAGGTGTGTGGAGCTGCGACCTGCAGGCGCGTGTTTTGTAAGCACAGACTCACGTCGGAGGCATGGTGTTTTGGTGTGACCTGGTCATATCAAAGCTCCGTTAGTATTTTAGCACTTCATTTGAGGTGTGCTGGAGATGACGGGGAGAGCCGGGCAACTTGACTTGAAACAGCTGACCGTGAAGGCAAAGGATCGAGCCAAGTTTAGAGTTGACACGGACAGGTACCGCCAAACACCTGCGAGATCGCCGGGAGTTGCGGGATCCCAGGAGCCCAGAGAAGAACATCCCGGAAAACTGCTTCCACATTCGTTCCGGTTTCCTTTCCTGTTTTCAGGCTAGATTTGCAGTCCTCACGACACTGTCACTCTGGGGGGACCTGGGATTTGCAAGCAGTTTTTTCGTATGATCGCATATTGAATACCGTGAGCAGTGGTTCCCGAGCCGAACGTGCAGGCAACACTAAAGTTTGCTCAAGTGAAGTTCTTGATGCTTAACCAGCTGACTCGCGCAGGATGAGACGCTGTCAGAACTGCAGCTTCGCCCCGATCTGGCTGGCCAGTGGAAGTATGGCCGCCGTGTGGCAACTTGACCAGAATGTGCTTCAACGGCTTGCACGGGGTTTTGCCAGCCGGCTTTGAGAGTTAGGTGAGAGGCTTGCAACAAATTTGCACTGATGCCAGCTTCTGTTCTGAGGCAAACGCAAAGAAGCAAGAGTCCGCAGTGATGCCAGAGCCTGGTCATCCTGTCCCCTTGAATGGTGGCTTGAAGGCAGATCGGGCAAAACTGCATGACCTGCGTGGCTCCTTTATGGGTCCTGAAATGGAGGTGACTGCAGCTGCGGGTTTGGAGTTCCTCAGCAACTTCGAGAGCTCCAATGGCGAAGTTTTCAGTGAAACTTCTACAGGCCAGCATAGACTAGGGTCCTGCTGCAGCCTCATTGTAAGTCTGGGAAGAGGCTTCAGGAGTGTAATGCCCAGAGAGCGCATGCACAAGGTACGCGGGCCGGAAAGGCGCCACTGGAGCCGACGGAGGATCCTGAACGTTTTCACGTGATCCTCCAGGCCGATCCCTCTGACGGCACCTTGGCGGGCCAAGCCGGATTGCAAAGATGTTTTCAGGTCCCTTTCACGCAAGGCTGACCCCTTGTTTCGACACAGGCACCGAATCAACCGGACGGCGGCGCTGGTTCTACTTCGGCGTGCGTTCTGTGAGCAAGACGCCACGGAAGGTACGCTTCGTGGCAACTTGCTGGCACCCTGACGAGCCAAGGGCTAGGATTCTTGCGTTCTGCGTGTGGCAAGCTAAGGTAAGTAATATGAGCAATATGCTGGATCTTTATAACCTGGATGGCCATCGGCCATTCTATTGCCAATTGCCTGGCTCGCCTGCGTGGCGACGCTTGGCAGACGAAGCCTGCAATTTCTCTTGTCAGGAGGTGGGAACATCTGCTCTTGCGCAATTAGCTGTCTGCTGTGCATGAATGCAGCGTGCTCTTAGCAGCGGCAGGAGCCGATTCCAGTGACGGACGACACAAAAGTCAAGCCTGTCCGGACCACAGGGTGCTGACAGCTATCTGCACTGCATGCCGCTTTGTAGTGCATGCACGCCTTACAACTGAGGCGGAGCCGAAAAGCGAGCAATGCAGCGAAGATGAGCGGCTGTTGCCAAGGATTCGCGCCATGTTAGACAGCGGACCCGAGCCACCAAAGAAGCGTGGCAAAAGCTGCTACATCGCGTGGGATTACATGTTGGAGCCCGGGGGAGCCACAACGTATTTTGCATTCTCACCGCCGTATACATATGCGGATTTACAAGGCTATTTGAAACGCCTGGAACAATTTTTCATGCAGCCCACGCAAGGGAAGTCCCTGCCTGCTTACATGGATTCCATTGAGATTCATGGTGGCGGCTCTGGCACATTGGCTTCTCGAACCACCTCGCCTGTGAAGCCCAAAAAAGTTAAAGTCACAATCGAGCATGGGGCGGTGGATAACCGAAAGATGACCTTATGGCTACGCAAGGACTCCACCATGCTACAAGTCAGACAGGGTATTGTGGAGGCCCTGGGCTTGACAAGGCTGTCACAGGTGAAGTTAGTGAGGCGGATGCCCAACTCAGAGCGGCTCATGACACCTTTCGGTGACACCGAGAGGCTGAACCAGAGAACTCATCTACTCATGGTTGGCTACGAGTTCCCAGATGGCTTTGCAGGTCCAGAGCCTGAGGCTGCACAGGAAACTCAAGCCCCAGAGCCCGCGCTGCCGGTACTCAACTCCAGCGAGGAGTCTTGGAACCCCATTTGTGGCGCGCAGATTTATTTCCACAGGCAGCGACTCTGCCTCACCAGGGAGGGCCGTCGGGTCGACCTGATCACGCTCTCTGAGTCCATGAGCCCCAACGCCAAAGTTTGCGTTGAAACGTCTCCGGAGAGCTGCTTGGAGAGATCAGCATTTTTGCAAGCTGCCTGTAATCGCACTTTACTCTCGGCTGTAATCCAATTCCCGCCCAGCGCAAGTGGCTTGAATCGCCATGAGTTCAGCCCCTTCTCATGTGACTCGGCTTCGGTTCAGGTTTCCTGAGCAGCTCTGTGGCGGTGGACGGCGAGAGCCCTGCGGAGCTGTTTGCTTCCAGACCCATCGTCTTTGTGTCTGCCCGGGTTCATCCTGGCGAAACGCCAGGCCTGTATCGTCTTGTCTGACTTGTGTGAAGCATGTGACGCTGTCGCAAGAAGGTTGCGTGTGCTTTGAGGCCAGTTCGCCTTTCTCGGGCTTTTGCGATTTTTGCTCTCCGATGATCCGCGCGCTGAACTGCTGCGTCGGCAGTTTGTGTTCAAGTTGGTCCCAATGCTAAATCCAGATGGGGTCGCCAGGCACTGCTTGTCAAAAAGGCTGTGAGCTCGTGTGAGGGCAACTACCACTGTATGTGCCCATGATTTCCGGCCAGCATCAATCCACGCATTTGCTTGCTAGGGGGCACACCAGAGCCAACGCTGGTGGATTGGACCTGAACCGCTGCTACGGAGATGCCAATCCGAAGGAGCATGAAGGCTCACGCTCGCTTGCAGGGCCCCCATGGATCTAATGGATGCCACGTGTCAGAATGGCACAGGTGTCTTTTGGGCGCTGGAATGGCTTAAGCACTGGGCGGCTGAAGGCCGGAAGAGCTGCCGAAGCTTGTGCATTTTGTCTGAGCCAAATCAGTGAGGCCGCTTGCTCTTTTACTTGGACATGCACGCTCATGCTCACACTCGCGGCTGCATTCTTTATGGCAATCGCCTTTCTGGTGCTGCGCAGGCAGGGTTCTCTTTGGTGCCTAATCTTCTCAAGGGACATTGGGAGAATGCCCCGGCCGAGGTGTGGAACGTGGCTTTCGCGCGAATCTGCGAGCGAAATGGCCCACACTTCGACTTCGAGGGCTGCGAGTTCCCTCCAATGTCAGACAAGGCAAGGGCTTCTGGCGAGGTAAGGTAGGATACGTCGCAATGTCTCGAACAGCCTGGAGCAGTCCACGCTAGCAGCGGCAGAGGTGTCTGTAGTGGGACTGGCAGAGGAACGAAAACTGCCATAAGTGCTGGCAAATTGAATTGTATGCTGGTACACACGGAGAGCATGGAGTGGGTGGATTCTCTTTGTGCTTCAATCGGGGAACTTCCCGGTCTCAGTATTGTCTTGATCAGTTACGCATACACACCAAAACTTCATTCTCCTGCCGCTAGGAGCACGGTCTGGACAGCAACGAGAACTGTGGCCGGGCCAAAGTGGCTGCCATCTGCAACGTGAGCCGGGTGCCAAGCATCTCGTGGCCTAGGGCTCTTTTGCGGGTCATCTGGAGCATGCGGCGGAGAGGTTCTGGAGAGATCATTGAAAGAATAAAGGATTAGGTTTCTCGGTTTCGCAAAGTTGCAGATGGAGTGAGTAAATTTTCAAGGCTTCTGCAAAACCCAAGCGATGTGCGGACCGTGTCAAGCATGCTTATGCTGTTAGATGCTGTTGGAGACTCCTGACTGCACTTCCGCGACGGCTTAGGTCATGCATATACGAGACTTGGCTGTATCGTGAGCTCAAATCACTCAATAAACTGCTGTTTGTATCTATCCCGTGTGGTGCTGCTTTGCAAGAAACAGGTTGGAGTGCCATTACAGCATTGGTCGACAGGCTCGGCTTTGCATCTCATTCGGTAAATGTCACCCGAAAGCACTGCCAAGGCCCATCCTGTGGAAGAGTTGGACTGCTTGCAGGGCAGGCCAGTTCATCCTGGGATGGCAGTCCCGCTGCTCTGCGGCATTTTGGTCAGCTATATTCGACTGCTGGGACTCCTGATACTTCACAGTACGAACTGTTCCCTCATTTGAGCCACAACCGTTAATCTCCATGAAAGGAACTAGTC